CCTCAAATACATAAAATAAAAAATAAAAAATAAAAAAACGTGATTTTTTTAGGAAAATCCAATAAAGAGAAAAAAAAAAAAAAAAAAAAAAAAAAAGGATCTTTCAACATTGTATTTAAATTGAATTTCAAATTAAATTCATTATTTTCAGTTCTTATACTATTTCTGCCTCACTATTGCCTTTTATGCATCTGCATCATCCATGGTTCTGCTGGTAGGAAAACTGTACATATAACTACAGTTTTTACACACACAGAGAAGGCGGGAACTAGGGTGAAAGGAGGAGTCTTAGGGTTCGTGAAGAGAGGTCAGATGGCTTTGGCCAGGATGATGATAAATGGCGAGGAAGATGAAGATTTATTTTCTTATTTCTTTTTTTGGTTCCAAAAATGACAAGAGAACGCTGAGAGATGAAGGAAAAAACAAAAGAAAAGAAAAAAAAAAAAAAAAAAAGGACCAAATAAAACCTAATATTTACTTTTGTTTTTCTATTTGAAATTACTGGTATTAGTAATTTTAAAATGTTAGGAAGTTTGAGGATTTTGTATGAAGAAAAAAAGTATTTAAGATTAAAATAAAAAAATGAGTTAAAATTTAGGAAATAAATTCGCACTGGTAATTAGGTTTAATAACATCAAATCAATAGAATTTTTAATTTTGATGAGCATACCCAGCAAGCCATGCTTACAGGTTCCTCTCCTAACATTGATGTTGAATATGATGAAATCAAGTTGCTTCTTCCGCATTGTATTGGCTTCAAGCTATTGTGTCAAGATGATCAACCTCACGCCTCGTCTAATACAATTTTTCAGAACTGTATGGCCAAAAAGAAGAAGAAAAAAAAAACAAAAGGATAGTCCATCTTCTTTCACTCAAGATTTAAAATCTCCTCATGATTCTCTTCCCAGGATGAGGCGTGATTTAGTTGAATTGCGTTATAACTTCTTGAAGGACAGCCCGCTGATAACTTAAATGTAGCTAGTTATAAGTTTGACTTTCCAAAAAGCCTTTACCTTAAACTTCACTTCCAGTTGAAAGCTAGATAGAAATGGCTAGGTTAATTAGTAGAAACTAATAAAGTTATCTTGCAGCCTCCAGTTTGAAGAACTGAAACTTAAAAGACTGGCTCAAGATTTTCCTCCATTCATTCATTTAACAGGAAAACATCAGACTACAACATTTCTGACACTCCTAACCTCGAATTAATAAGCACAAACAAAATATTTCAAGAAACAGTTGCTGAAGCTATTAGATAAAACTACAAAACCATAAATGAGCAGAACAAGCAACCGACAACGAAAGAAATGTTTCTTTATCTTCATGCGCCTTGACAACTCTCCTCACAGTAGATACTGAACCCAACAAGGGTCTGCTGCTAAATTGACCCAAAAACGATCCTAGTCCTCCTCATTCTGACTTTCATCTTTGACAAGCTTGATCATGTCATCGATCCGAAGGATTGTTATGGCTGCTTCAGTTGCAAACTGACAAACACAGAAATATTAGCAAACAATCATTTTCTTTTCCATAGCTCCATAAAATTAAATTCAGAAGGATGTCTATTTTAAAAGATACTAAGAGAACACAATGCTATATTCCCTGAGTACCTGAATAATCTTCACTTTGCTCATTGCAGGCTCAATGACTCCAGCTTCTAAGTTGTTCCGAATGGTTCCATTTGTAAGGTCAAGTCCCATGCTGCACCAAATCAAGAAGCCATACCAGATAAATAACTTAAGCCTACTAATAACCATCTTCCATCCTGTTATCAGTATCCCCTACCCCAACCAAAACCATTGATGTTTTCATTTTTCTTTTTGTTTCTTTTGATCAAGAAGAAATGACAAAGGATGCCACAAACAATTTTGTTTTATTATTGCAATCCAAATATATGTAGATGCCATTCCCTTACGCAATTCCATGTGTGATAAACCATTTCCATAACTTTGTTCTTTAAAACATTCTCAAAAGAAAACCATTTCTGGACCATTAAATAAAACCAGAACAAAGAGAATTCTATATTTTAGTAACCAGAGGACCTCGATAAATGTTTCTTTTCAGCCTTCATCTGTGCAGTGTGGTGATAAGCACGTAATTTGGCAACTAGTTCAGAGGCATCCCGAGCAGCATTGACAGTTAGTACCTGCAGAGAACATATACTGTTAATTACCACACTGCAAACCCATGATAAGCTGGGTAAACCACAGTGATTGTCATCTTAGATGATATCTATTACCTTGGGTATAATTAGTAAAGAATCAGCAAATTCTGCAATTGCCAACTGCTCTCGAGAACCTAAAGTTGTGGCAAGGTACTCCAAATATACAGACAAGGCAGCCTCAACTGCACCTCCACCAGCTACCACCTGTCTAGCAACATGTGTTGTGTTCATAACCAGGAAATAGAACATTCTCGAAGGTACAACTTGCATAATTATTCTGAAAAATCCATTTTGCATTTCATTGATAATCTTTACTACCGTATTAGATTCAAGGGTCCTTTTCACAATAGATAAAGCATCATGAAGAGCTCTCTCCATCTCATCAAGCATGTAGTCGTTTGCACCTCTGAGGATCAAGGAAACCTAGAATATTACAAGGATGAAGAGATGGAAATATCATCAGGAATCACATATCGATGTCATAGCATCTTTTTCTCTTAAACGATTTATCATATGATGGTCTTGACACAATCAATAAAGTAAAAGCTGATTCTGTGCTGTAGCTTCAGCTCTTATGCAGATGTCCAAGGATCAAATGAAATCAGGTCCAACAAATGAGAAAAGAATTTGCCCGTAAAAATAATAGACACACCGCGCTTGTAGTTCTGGTTCCCTTTATCATAATCACATCATCATCAGCAATTCGCTCTTCCACAACTTCATCCGCAGATCCAAGAAGTGAAGAATCATATGTTTCCTCCCCTTCCATGTCCGCAAATGTTGAAACCTGTGATTTAATTTGTTAGTGGGATGGAGGGGGAAGGATGATTTAGCAAGATATGTGAATTACAATAGAAGAATCATGCTTCCATAATCCACCATCATATTCCAACTACTAGCGAACTTCGGCAATAGATTTAATTTTCATTTACTGCTACTATCATCAAATAATTGGGATATTACCATGGTTGCACCAGTTGCCTTTGCAACATGCCGCATATCCTCCTTCCGAACCCGTCTCACAGCAATAGCTCCAGCCTCAACAAAATACTGAATAATGATGAACAAAAGAAAACCATTACTTACATAATGAATCTATGCAACAGAGACTTCTTGGCACACTCCAAAATGCACTCAGAATAACTCCCAAGCAAAAAGTTCAATGAGAGCATATTTAATGTCTACCATTACAGAGTCAACAAGAAGAATATATATATATAATCACTTTGTAGCTGAATACAGACATTTCTTTCCACCCCACATGGAAAGAAGTAGATAAACAGGAATTAATTCTAACTTCCACATGATGAAAAAAAGTAAAAGATCTCACATAAAAAAATATAAAAAAAAAACACGAATAAACAGGATAAGACATTCTCGAGCTTTCTGAAAGAATTGGAGAAAACCCAGACTAAAAGAAAAAAATAGTGGAAATAGCACTCAATTCCTCTGGAGCCAATATACAGAAATATTTAAAGCAACCATGTGCCTTTGCCCACAAAGAAAGCCAAGGAATTTAATCTATCCGAAAGAAGCTGAGGAGATATCCAGTGATAAGTGAAGATTCTGTAATTCTAGTCCCTCAGTAAAATCCATATCCCAGCAAAGAGGGCACCTTTACTATAGATCCTACCTTCCTCTTTCACTCGATCTCCTTTAAAGAGGAACTCAAGAAACACTCAGAAGAGGAAGGGATATCCAAAACGAAGCCAAAAAAGCTCCCAAGCTACATAAAAATAGAGGAACATGTGGGATTAATCCTCTTAATGCACATCACACATGCATCCGGGACAAGAAAGCAGTTAGGCCTACATAAAAACGTTAGTAATTGCTTATCTGAACTGAATCAAATCCCAACTAGAATAACTAATTTTACTTTATCCAAGTTAAATCATAATCCAAATAAAATATAATAATTTCTTAATCGTGATTTGAATAAATATTATCCTAATTAAATCAATCTAACACAATGCAACAGCAACAAAAATATAAACATAATTTAAAACTTGGTAAGACCTTTTTAAATAATTATAATTTAATACTTTGAAAACTGAAATCTTTTTATCCGCTAAGCCAAAAGTGTCTCTATTGACAGAAGAAAAGATCATTAGCTTTATGAAATAATCTAGTCATTTAAAAATATCATAGAAGTAGCCACCACTAAAGACACGTATAAAATTCTCATCTAGAATTACTTCTACAGTTTTAAAACATATAAATAAAGTAATTTAAATATTAAATCTTAGGAATTTTAAAATTTTAAAATGTAATGAAAACAATCTAAGTAAAAAGGACAGGTGTTGCAATTTCTTATAATCAATTATATAGTCCATGTGTAGTACGGAATAAAAGAAACTAATTATAAGTTAGTTCAAACATCAATGACTGATAAATTAAATAAATAAGCTGATGTGTTATACAACTATTTTTTTTTTCTTTTGAAATATAAGAGAAGTATTATTATGCACAAAGATACCAAGTGAGTACCGTCCATGTACAAGGCATAATTACAAGTCAATTAAGTAGTCCATGACATACCCAAAATCATCGCAATCTTTGATGTCATTTAAACTAAATTAACATATAATTCCTGAAAAAGATCAGGAACTTCTCTTTCATCTCAAGTCTAATGCACGAAAACCAACAAACTATCATCCCAAACATAAGATACCTCACCAGCCACGAAACACCAGATTGTAGTTAAATGGCAATAGATGGCTGAATGTGCAGCATTGACAGTGGAGAGAGTGTGTGGGTAAGAGCAACAAGAGAGGTGAAGGAGGTAATTTTAAAATTTTAAATTACGAAATATGTTCCTATGTGGCAAAGTAATTGCATGACTCTTAGTAAAAAATTTCTTCTCAAAAAAGTTTTTTTTGTTGTTGTTCACCAGTTTTCTTTTGCCAAAAGCTATAGACATATAGGATCTAACTATTTTGTACGGTCCAGACACTATCTAGGATGTCAAAAGTTAAGTACAAGTAATATCCACATCAAAGAGATTGTTGGAAATGTTTCTGATGCAGAATGGTTTAAGTTTGATTACCTAAGTAGATTAGAGATCGTAATTTTTTTAATATAAAACTATTGTGCAATTTAGGAGTTTATTATTATAGTTTTAGTAATTTTAGGATTTTATTCTTTTTAGTATTTATTTTTTCTATTCCTATTAGTAATATTCTTCCTACTCCTATTATTATTAGTATCTATATATATATAATTTTCCCTGTTAGTAAGTTACTTAGAAAGTATTACAATTACCTATATAGTTTTTCTTTTGAGATGGAGTTCAGTAATTCAATAAAATGTTTTGAGAGTTTTTCAATATTATAGATGTATGATGTAATCAAACATTCAATTACGATACTTAATACTTCTTAAATCTGATGTCTAAGAAACTCTAGGGGTAATATCTAAGTCTTTATTCTCAAATCCCTTAGTAGACAAATTAACTCTAATTTGTTCTATATCAACTTCACTTGATCTGGGATTAGGTAGAGAAAAAGAAATATTTAAGGTCTCGCCACTTCATGACCTACCGTTTGAAGATCAAAAAAACTCTTTTTGTTTCATTAAAAAAAAAAAGAGAACTAAGCACAAATATTGGGTTCTTATTTGGTAAACAAATAAAATATAGAATATCATTATCAGAAACCTTTATAGACCCACCAAAAAGGTATGATTAATGAAGTACATGCACATCAATGGCTGATAAAAAGCGGTAAATAATGGTAGTGATGAAATGGTTGCAAGTAGTAGGAAAAACAAATAGTCGAGAAGCTTGCCTTGAGTGCCATGTCATCAATGCCCTTGGTAGTCAAAACAACATTAGCTCCAGCTTTGAGAAGTTTTTCTATACGTTCTTTGGTCATATCGGCTTCTCTGTGAAGAAACCATCATCATTGGCCCATTAATATGATCAAAAACATTACCTCGATATTTGTGTTTGATAGTAATAATATAATAAACAACTCTTCACATCCACCATAATCCGATTTGGTTGTATTAAAAACGTAGCACATCCTCAGACTTTGCAGCAGCCACTTAACAAATATCTATTTTCTTTTTTCCTCTGGTCTAAGGTTGCTCTCTTGTATTGAAGCATTTTTCTTCTGTAAGAATTTCTTATCCTCCATATTTCCACTACATTTCTCTGTCTCTTTCTCTCTAATAACGTTTCTTCCATAGTTTTCTTGTTATTCACAATCGAGTGTATTTACAGTTATAAGAAAGTGCACCAATTGCTTCTATCTTTGATACCTTATTTTCATTTTAGAGTTATATACAAAGGTGTAGAATAGTTCAGACCTAGATAAGATCCTTGGCGGAACCAGCTATGCTCCAAACACATTACCAAATCCAAAAAGATAACCACTACAAGCAGGATATGACAACAGAAAGGATTCAGATGGGTATTTATGCTTCAAAATTTAAATCCAAATCAACATCCAAGAGCCAGTTTAGTTTGCTGAGAAGAAAGTACTTAAAGCTACATGCTTATAAGCAATTTCAGAGGAATATTTACATCATGCCATGTTTGGATGAAATTTTTGTGGTAAAAATAACTCTATATTTTTTTTTGAAATATGTAAAAACAACTGTAAATTTTCGTACACAAAACTAATAAGGACAAACAGGTACTTGAAGAGTCTTACTACCTTTGACGAATTTTCTCAAGTTCCCTCGGATCATTAACTAGTACTTGGACACCCAACTGCATTTTTGTTTTCTGAAGATTAAAATCAAGACAAGCAATCCTTGCCGGAGCAACTCTTAAAGGCATTCCTTGAGCAGCCCGGCCAGTGTTGAGAGCATATCCATTGAGCAAGTAGCTATCTCTTGCACTTTTTCCATGAGCTTTTAGGATGTTAATTCCCTGTAGTTTATGAAGAGAAGAAGAGGGAATAAACTTTTTCCATATACGTGGCGAAGAACCAAAAAAGGAAAAAACTATACCACAAGCTATTAGTTAGTTTACAAATAAACTACAAATAGATAACGAATATAAAATATTTCCTTGATAGAAATAACAACTATTAAATATTTTATTAAAAAAGCACAGCTAAAAATCTTTTACTTGCAAAGGAAAATCAGCAGCAACCAACCTTGATAGGGTATCTTACTTCCCCTCTTACATTTGTCATTTTTACTGCTTGTACAGCATCTACAACCTACAATGACATATGCAGTTCTTAAGTCAGGCCCTTCGTCTTTATTTCAAAAAAAAATTCAGGCCATTCGTCTTGACCAAAGCACAAAAGGTAAAATTAGTAGTTTTCTATCTCAAGTGGACAAGAGAAAGGTTGATCCAGACTAAAATTGAAAAGAGCTGATTACACAACCAAAGTATTTCTACAAAATTACAAACTAAAAAGCAAAATATGTTTCATAAACCAAAAGAAAGTGATAAAAGTACATAAACTATGAGCAGTATAAATATATATATATTTCTAAGATAAAAATATGGTGTAAATCGATAAATGTGTATAGAAAAAATAAATTACTGCTACTTAGTGAATTCAGGAAGGATACCAAATTCGCAAAGAAGTCACTTTCACCAGCTATTAACTTTGACGACATGCTAGTCTTTGCACAGTTTACCAGTGAATCTTTACCAAGTTTTTCAACCTACAAACAATACAGAAAACATCCAGACTAGAGTGATACAGACAAAGTGCTGAGAAAGAGATTTTTCAGAAAATATTAAAGGCCTATAATTCCATAACTTTCATTCAGAACTAAAATAGAGCTCAAGATAATTTTGGCATAATGCTTGAGGCTATGACCCTTTTCCAGATTATTTTTCCATCTGTAACAACATTTTTTAAAAAGAAAAAATATAACAGAAGGGGTAAGAAAGGCACTTAGCAAATTATAGAGATATGATATGTTAATCTATGAAGACTACATATATCTC